AGAAAGAAAGAAAGAAAGAAAGAAAGAAAGAAAGAAAGAAAGAAAGAGAAAATTAGAGTGTGATTAATTCTTGTAGAATAATAAATACCTAGGCTTCTAGAAGTCTATTAATGCGTAGATATTGGAATTAAATCAATGGACCTCAGGTGCTGAGTGATATAGTCTTGTATGCTATACCCATGGTCCAGAAACAAAGAGTTCAGCCTGGCTGCTGTCCTGAACAATGTTCCAGTCCAAAGAAAAGCACAAGGGATGGTGGGCATGGCTTTACAGAAGACAGCTTTAAGGAGGGAGCCCCCACCCCCACCCGTGTTCCACCTGAGATCAAAGCCTATTGTTCAGTGTAGCTAAATGGACAACCTACATGGGAGGCCAATTCTGCTCACAGCAGGAGTGAGCTCTCACTGAAGGCGGAAATATTTTTTCCCTTGTCCTCAGTGAAACTGAGAGAGAACCCCAGTCTTGTTCATTATACATTTCTGAGATCCAAACCTTTAGACACCTTTCGGAAATCTTACAAGTTTGAAAGTTTGCCTGGAGGACTCTTTTCATTCTTTTTCTTAAATAGGATGAACAAAAACACCTACATGCAAGAGATCCTTTGCACTCAATTTTGTTCTTTTATTATCTCTTCCATGGGAAAAGAGGGAGGTTGCCGAGTGCAGCTGTTAGATACAATTCTGTTGGTTTATTTATTTATTTATTTATTTTTTGTGCAAGCCGCTTTCACATAAAGGCAGGCAGCAAGGGGAATACAAAAGATTCAGATGGACAAACAAATCAAAAAAATGAGCAGAGTTGAGAACGAGTCTCCAGTGGCTGCTGGTGATGACTCACGGCGACTAAAAACAGACTGTGGCACTGGACACCAAGGACCTAGAAGTGTAGGAGACAAAGTGAAAAGGGCAACCTGTGTTCAGGGCTTAATTCCTATTAATGGGATATCAGCAAATAAATCCAAAGATGACAAAATATTCAGAAACTTGAAATGATGTTTTCACTTCACTTTAACTACATACTAGTCTTCCTAAGAGACATGTACAAGCCTGATGGAACACCTATGACAAACAAACCCATTGGTCATCCAGCACATTGTAAAACACACTTTAGTTCCTTTTGATTGACAGCAGAGAAAGCAGCACATTCTTTTAGTTTATTAAAGTATCTGGCCCTTTAAATTTCAGTAGATAAAAGGAAATATTGATAGAATAACAAACATGTTCTTCTTGGTCTTAAACCTGTGGTAAAATGTCGCTGACAGAGTAATTATGGCTGTTTCATATGATCAGCACATATGTGCTCCTTGGTAAACCAATTTAATTCCCATTCATGCTAATCTCGTTAGTACCCACTCAGAGAGCAAGGAGTCCTCTTAATAAACTATTGATTCATTCGAGCCACTTAGACAGGGGTATGAGGTGGGAGCAGAGGGGACATCACCATTCCATCCACCACCATGTTTCTTTTCTGAGAATATTTTCCAAACATTAGTGAGTACTAGGTTATAATTCATACGACAGGGAAATGAAGAACATGGATAAAGACAGTGAGTGACAGGCCTCAGTCTGTGAAAACAGGGGGAGCTGGGAAGGAGTTGTTAACTGAGGTCTGACCCAAGATACTACAAAGAAAAGGGGAATTTTGTTTCTAAAACAAGGAGAATGGAATTCGTATTGATAAGTTCTAATTGAATTGAGTTTTTCTTAGAAAAAAAAAAAAGAAGTCAAATTAAGAGCCAGTGAGCGCTAATCTGCAACACTTCTAGTTCTGTCTATCTTCCCTCTATAGAAGAGTTCAGTAATTTCTCTGGGACTCAGATGACCACCCATAGGTCAGATCTCCTTGTCTTAGCATCCTTTGATCAGCCAAGAGGCAAGATGGGCTCCCCAGAGGGCTTGTGTCTCCATCTCTGTGGCTTCATTGAATACAGCTTTGTAATGAGGCTGTGTGCCATAGGCCAGCCTGGGACTCATGTTGCATGCAGTAACAAGTTCTGTTATTCCCCCCCCCCCCACTCCCGCCCTCTTTCCGGATCACTCTGGAGCTTCTAAAGCTCCAGGTGTCTTATACGCTCCAGCGAGGTGGGGTTGGGGGCAGTGTCATAAAATAGAGAAAAAGCGGCAGACAGAATTTTGTTCAGGACCCACCATCCAGCTTTAAGATAAGTCATTCGACCTCCCTGAGACTCAGTTTCCCTTATCTCTAAAATAGCAAATGATGATCTCTAGAAACGCACTACATGCTTGCAGTGGTGGTGTAAGGGTCAAAACTACAATGGAAAAAACGACCTTGTGCATACACTGTATCTTAGCTGAGAAATGACTTAGGAGAAAAAACAAAACAAAACAAAACTGGAAGGCCTGGTCTCAATTCTATCAGGTTTCTGTGAGTAACAAAAGAGAAGTTTACCCTGGGTGGGTGGGGGTCGGGGAGGGAGTTCTTAACACAGATTAGCGGGGTACTAGTGCTTATCCTTTGTGGATGAGTCCTCAGAACATAAACTGAGATAGGAGATGCTTAGATACATGAAATCTCCTTTTCTGTTATGCGCATGTTTGGTGCTGATTATCCATGGAGACCTGAAGAAAAAAAATACTGCAACACATACTCTTAATACACAAATATTAAACTGTCTTTTCTCTACCGACTGGTAAAAAAATATATTATATTTTGATATTTTTTTTCTTTTTAAATTATTTCTGCTATCCATCCCAGCCGAAGTCGCGGCCTGTCATCTGGTAGAACTTGCGATTGAAAGGACGGTAAAAGTCCCGCAGCTGCCGCACCACCTCGCGCGCGATGGCGGGGTGTGCACGGCCCTTAGTCTTGCCCAGGCAGTGAGGCTTGCCGCTGCCCTCCGCCTTCTTGAGGCACGGGAAGCCCTTGGTCTGGTTGAAGTAGAAGTGCTTGTCGGTGATGATGCGCTTGAGGCCCAGGAAGTCCTGCACGCGGCGCAGTTCGCCGGCCGGGTCACTGACCAGCCGCTCCCCGCTCACGAAGAGCATCTGGCCGAGCGGGAAGTGGCGCAGCCAGGGCTCCAGGTGCTTGGCATACAGACCGATCTGGATGGCGCTCCAGGACGTGTCTATGAGGCCCGCGCTGCGGTTGCGGAACGTCAGGCTCTCGAAGCTGGGGATGTCCGGCCGCTTGGACAGTGTCTGCGTGTAGTCTGAGATGGCCCTGGTCACCGGGTCGCGCACTACCACGATGAGCTTGGTGTCCTTGGACATGGCCGAGATGCGCGCGGGTGCCTCCCGGGTCACAAAGTAGCTGGGCGTCTTCTCCATGGTGATCTGTCCCTCAAGGGTTCTGGGCATCAGGTCCCTGCAGGAAAGCAAGAAGGCATGTTAGAATCTGGAGAGTAAGCCAAGTCCCCTTTTGGACCCCAAGAACTGGAAAAGGCCACCCAGTCTGGGTTCAGACTCCCCCAGTGGGTTGCAGTTCCAACTCCCTGACTTCTTGAATGCCTGGTGGCAGAGACTGCTTTGCTTTCCTTGAGTACATCTTTTCATCTCAACACTAGTGGCTAGATGTGAACATATATAAAAACAATAATTTTGTTGTTTTTGTATTGAGGAAAATACAGACACCTATACTAGGAAGTTTCCAAAAATCTTAATTTTAATTCCTAATGTAAATAATGTCTGTTTTGTGCTGGTGAATGAATCTGTCAGTGCTTTCCACTCTGGCTTGCATTTTATGCATAAGTCTTTGTTCTACACCATTGGGACAAACACTGGACATAATGCCCCTGTCATACAGTTTTTGTGGCAATTATTGAATACATCTCAAGACTCTGAAATGCTCCCAACACAGAATAAAGGCTCTGTTAGTTATTGTTAGCCAACTACAATAAGCAATGTCGATGTGCTCAGAAGGTGAACTACATTGTCACAAACACGATTACAGTGCTATCAAAACACATTAAAAATACCCGATGCCATCCTGTCCATGGCTGTCTCAAGTCTTAGAGTAGTGCTGCCCATCATACAAAAGCTAACATTTCTCTCAACAAGGATTTCTTCATTAACAAAAGGATCTCTTTATAATATTTATTTTATTTTTTAGTTCTGAGTTTCTCTGTGAGTTTGTACACATAGTTGTAGGTGCTTCTGGTGGCCAGAAGTGAGAGTTGGATCTCCTGGATCTAGAGTCAGAGATGAATGTGAGCCCCCTGAGGACTCTGAACTCTGGTGCTCTGAAGGAGCAGCAAGCACTCCGAACCACTTAGTCATCTCTCCGGCCCCTCCTTTTCAGCATAATATCAAATCATGCAACTGTCCTCCCCTAACAGTGATTCACTTATCCCTAATTCCAGTTACCTGCCTCCAACAACAGTCAAAAAAATATTACACACAGATTCCAGGAATAAGCAAAATCCATAATGTTTAAATTGCAAGCCATTCCAAATAGCATGGTGAAATCTCCCAGAGACCCCTCTGCCTACCCAGAACACGAGTCATTCCTTTGCCTGGCACACCCATGTTGTATGCACTACTTGGCCTTTAGTCACATAGTGGCTAACATGGCAATCAAGTTAGCTGCCACATTATCAACGTTCCTCTGCAATGGAGGCCCCAAAGGGAAACAGCAGGAATGGGGCACCAGAGCACAGCACACAGGAGCACGCATTTAATTAACACTGCAGCTGCATGAAAAGGTACAGGGCATGTAGACAAAATAAAGGTAGCATGAGGGGCTGGTATTAGCCTGGATTTCAGACTCGTTCCTAGCTGGGGCTCTTGGGGGGGGGTAGTAAGAGAAGGCCTCATGTGTGCAGAGTAAATGGCTTTTATGTCACACAAAATACTTATCTGCACAATTCCTGAGGGTTCTATCTTGTCTGTAATGGTTAGAAAAGTCCTGATTGTCATGCTCTAAATGTCTTCGTTTCTTTTCTTTTCCTTTAATGTTTGATTGGAGTCACTTCTGTCTAGGGCTGATAATGTATGTGTTGTGGGCAGGAAGGGTAGTGTGATCTCTGGTGAACTTTCCTCTTTCCCCTGGATGGTCACTGTGCTGCTCTAACATTGCCTTGTCTTGTGTTGATTTGGGGCGATTTTGATTCTCCTATAAAAATGATGTAGTGAGTACTTGCAGCCACACCTCCACGTTCAGCTACAGTTCCTGCATTCTTCCTTTCCTTATTCCTTCTTGGTTACGCCTCCTTTTTTAATTCACTGATTTGTATTCTAGCTTTTTAAAAATGTTCCCCCTTAAAGCTGTGCTTAGTTGGTCCCTTACAATGGGTTTGATTGCCTTTTTTGTTTTTACCTTCCAATTTGTCTTCTCAAGTCATAAAGGCACTTTATTCTCCAAGACTCACTTTTCACGTGGGACTTGACCAACTTTCTTAAATACCAGCAGTCTAGTCATTCACCATCAATACTTATTGGTTTCACTAAAGAGTTCTGCTTTCTCTTATGATGCAAGTATCATCCACGGCTGTATTTATTTTGAATTTTAATGGCTATTTTGCTTTCCTAATTTTGTAGTGTCTATTTTGCATTCGGACTAAAAGGATGCACTTTTAGTACACATCCAGCACCCTGTTAGCACTTTTAGTGTTGGGTCTTTCTCTTTGTTGGTGTCTTAGCACCTGCCCCATCTTCACTGTTTGCTAAGTAGACATTAATTGGGAAATGTCAAATATAAAAGATTAAAAAACATGTTAAGTAAACCTCAGGCATATCCTATCTCCTCCCGGAATGCATAACAATGGCCAGTTTCATTTATGAGCCTCCCCATCTCTACCCTGCCCCATTTACTCCCTAACTATGCCAACTGGATCCCTTTAAAGCCAAATGGCAGACATCCTCTCAATTACTTTGCAAGTATTTCTTCTCTCATGTGGGTTGTTTCTGGCACACATTCCTCAGCCTTGTGTGTCTAGTGCTAACAATGCTTTGGCTTATACAATGGTGCTTCCTCCCATGTTTGCTACTTTGGAAACGTTAATCAAGTGACTCTACCCTTCTTGGAGGAGGGAATGCTAGTTGTATATTTGATCTATGGTGCTTAATTTCTATTTATAACTCTGAAATACACTTGTGATTTATTTTGTAAAATGATGCACCACATTAACCATCTCTTGATATACCTTATGATCCAGACATAGGTGAGCACAGCTCAAAACAGGTGTAACATCACTGAGATGCCCATTGCCCTTCCTCACCAGTACATGCCAAAGACTAAGAAATCAGCTAGACCAAGTGCTTCTGGAACTTAAGATGCTCTTATACAACACAAACCAGGAAACCTGGCCAGAAATGGTTGAACTCTCCCAGTAAAAGAAATTTGATCAAATTTATGGGAAAATGTTGAGTTTTAAGCAAACACCAAATACTCAAATACTCCGGAGGGGCAAGGGCTCTGTGTTGACATAAAAACACAGGGGCAGATTCCTGTCTCCTTGTCTGTAATCTCTAAGTTATAACTAGTTTACTTCACATTTTGCCTGGAACCTGAAAGAGAGAGCAGACTGCTCTTGGGAGTTCCTGGCTGGCTTGTCTTTGGGAGCAAACAGACCCCCAGGAGCCTTTTTCAGAGATTGAAGCTTCAGATTGCACTTGGCCAAAACAAACACTACTGAACCTCTGAAAAAGAATTCATATTTTAAAAAGCCTATCCTAAATAAATACTTGAAAAGAGACAGCCCAAACAGGACTTCCTAAGAAAGCCATTCTTATCACCTCCTGTCACTCATGGAATGGGGAAATCCGACTAGTTACTGTGGGAGTAAAAATTCATTATATCATGGAGAACAACTCAAGATTAAGAGTTCTGGACATTGATTGCATAACGTGTATCTAGTTAATACTCTTGAACCTAAGGACACAGAGACAGTCCATTTTATGCTGAGCACAGTTTACAGCAAGTTTTTAAAGCACTCAAGAAGGAACAAAGGCTTTGAGGGGTGGATCTAGCTAGATTGTGTCTTTTGGCTTAAAGATGACTAAGCACTGGAGCTAAGTACTCAAAGGGGGATGAAATGTGTTTCATTTTCATCTTGCTAGACCAAAGGGAGATAAAATAATTTTTGACCATTTGTAAAGTTGATCTGAAATCAGAAAATGGGGTTTGTGGCTTATACCTTCTAACCACTGATAGGATGGGGCAGGTAGAGACAAGTTGTAACTTGATTTACTCAGTTTTTTTTTTTTTTTCGTTTCAATAGAAAAGTCAAGGCAAATGGCTCAGGAATCTGGCCTGTAAAGGACTGTCAGAGTGACTTTGCTCCAAAGTGTGTACCAAGCATTGCTCTGAAGGGAGTGGTGGCCAGTGACTCGATTCCCAATGGCAAGAGGACTGAGGAGTCCAGACAACAGAACCCCAGATAAAACCAGAGATGCCTTCTCTGCCATGACCCTGGGGTATCCAGCACTGGCCCACTGGGTACGGACGTTAAGGATGCCTGGCTTGAATATCATGAACTTGTCACTGTCTTTGGAGAGACCCAGATTGACTGGTTGTTTGGGGAGAGGTGAACATGGTCTTTAAGTGGATTCAGTTATCAGAAAGAACTGTTTGTCAAAGTTTGTGTCTGCTTCGGACACCATGCCAACATCAATTTGGAGCTGATCTGTCACTGAGTAATCTCTATGGGTCTAGGGGTTGTTCCTGGAGCTGTCTGCACTATAGGAAATGTTAGAGCCAAATGAGCCAGGGCAGGCAGGCTAAGTGGGTTGTTCTTTTCTACCAAAGCCAATGGTCAAGACCATAGTTTCTGGTGGGACTGCTTTCTCCACACAGAGCAGGGTACACACCACACTTGCCGTTGTGTTGGGCATCTAGGATAGTATAAGAATCAGGATGCCCCTTTGAATTAGGTGGCCAATGCTTCACCATTGTCTGCATACAGACAGCTCTGTTACTGGGCAAGACATCCAGAAAGAGCCACCCAGGGCACTCAGCAACTGCATTTAGTATGATACTAATCCAAATAAGAAGGTAAAAAAGGATCCATGTGTTCAGGAATTCTTACCGATATGAGCCCATTTCCCCTGGATTCCCATTGTCCTCATGCTGCCTTCTTGGTCCCTGTCTTCCCTGTGTAACTGATGCCAACCATTCTCCAGAAGTAGCTTCAAATGACTGAATGGAAGGAAGGATGTTTGGGCAGGTCGGTGGGGAGGTGGATAGTTGGGTGGGTAGGTGGGTAGACAGATGGATGGATGGGTTGGTGGGTGGATGGATGGATGAATGGGCAGATGGACCAATGGATGGATGGATGGATGGATGGATGGATGGATGGATGGATGGATGGGTGGATGGATGGATGGATGGATAAATATGCCTTTCCTATTAGTTTTTACTAAATTGTA